GAGAAAGAGAGAGATATATAGAGAGATATATATAGAGAGAGAGAGAGAGGTAGAGAGAGAGTGAGTGAGTGAGTGAGAGTGAGTGAGAGGGGGAGAGACGGCGAAGAAAAAGGATGGGCGATGAGGATCGACGGGATGGCAAGCGGGGAAAAAGAGAAACTCCCATATATTGGATGCTCTAAGTAGATAAAGGCTGTTTCGTTGAGACACTTCGATCGAGACTTTGTGGCTTTTGTGGAATGACATCGATTAGAAAATAGAGTGTGTGCCGGAAACGAACAGACAGCATTACACTGACGGAGACGAAAATATTTTTCGATCTTCCGTTTAGTGACGTTGACTGCTTTTAATTTATTATTATGTTCGGCCTTTACGCTAGAGGTCGCTCGTGCTTAAAATAAAATACTTTTTTAAGTATTGTAATTTATTGACAATTGATAAATCATATCAGTTCAATCTTATCAGTTTGCTATTACGTAACATTGTTATCATTTCAATCAATGCGAGCTCGATTACTAAATACTCGAGAGGATTAGGATAAGGCCAATCCACGACCGTTACATTTATAACTTCAATCTTTATTGTCGAACTATTTTAATTCTATGGTGATCGAATCTATTAAAACAATAAATTCTTATGATGTATAATATACGTGTACTACGAATCATAATTTATTAATTGTAAGAAAGTATTTATTACGTTGTATCTGTCAATACGTAACATAAATGCTTAATTAAAGCACCTCTATATATACATGATATATTATGTATATTATAATGGTGTAGTTAATTAGTTAAAAGAAATAAAATTGAATAAAAGTTGAAAAGAAGATGTAACGATAGTTGATTAATCATATTTCAATTACGTAAAAACTGCCTATGAAGGAAAAACAGAAAAATATTTTTTAAATAACTACTTTTATTCATTTGATATTTTTATAATTTATTTACATATTTAAAATAGAAATATTTCCCTGGGCTTCTTTAAGCATTTTCATTATTAAATCAAATCATAAGAGCTTGGAAAATGTTATACATATTTTAATTAAAAATAATAGACGATGTAACTTTGATCTGATTCACTGTAACGAATATACGAAGTAATATAAACACATTTTATCTCAAAAATAAAATTCTTACTATATATTTTCAACGATATTTTCATAAATAAAATTAATTTTCAATATTAAAATAAAACGATGCTTTTTATAATTTATAAAGAAATTCTTTACCATAATTTATAACTCCATTAAAGACGTTTTAATATTCTCTTGCTTAACAGTATACATTAATTATATATATGTATATATATATATATATCTTTTGCTTTGCTAAATTTTTATCTAAAACTGATTACTTACGTACGCTAGATAAGCTAACAAAATACAAGACTACAAGACTTCAAATAGACAGCAAATTCGAATACTTAAACCAAATATGTAATAAAAAATTCTTACCATTAATTAAAATTTTTATCAATATCAATGCCATTAACACTTCATTATAATGGAGAAATTCTTAATAGCATTTTATACCGGCGAATATCATATGATTTTCACATAAAATCTTACCGTAATATATGTTATATATTTTAGACGAACAAACTCCATTAGGCTTTCAACAATTTGCTGACAATGCGAATCCATCCATCCATATAGAACGTTTAAATATTTGATAAATAAAACATAAGATTGCCGCGATTTTTGTCCTGATGCATTCATTACTTATCCAAAAATAATTCATATTAAAATGTTTAAAAGCCATTGAAACAATAATTTTTTGTCTACGTAGACTGTAGATAGCATTATAATATTAAAATCAATCCCACCGAGGCGTTTATTCTGCGTTTATTCTGCGTTTATCGTTTTTATATTTTATATTGCATCATTATTTATTAACGTTTTGCATTATATTTATGATGTTATAGTTATTGTCGTTTATCATTATTGCATCGCGGCAACATAAACTAATAATGAAAATCTGTAAAAGATCGTTAGTTATCGACAGGTCGTTTTATATAAATTGAACTTTAACTAGCCTATCACCCAGCGCAAATGAAGAATGAAGTAAGTTTATCTCATAATTCATCAAAAATAAGGATAAAATATTTTAGTCAATTAAAAGCATAAGATTATACAAGCCAAGAGAGATCGAATGCGAGAGAATCGGGTGGCGCAAGATAAATATATATTTTAAAACTTTTCTCCTCAAGATTTCCATACAACAGCTTTCATATTTAAAGTCCGATAATCGATTGCTCTATAGTTGACTTAGTTTTTATTGTCAATGCTTCAAAGCTTTCAAAGAGGCTTTTAACGGCACCGTATGAGGGTTATTCTTGAGACCCGATTCCCCAGTTCAACTAAGCGTGCCCGGAATCAATAGAAAGATGATTGTAGAGAGCTCGAATACCTAAACATTCCTAGCAATATCAATTACTATAAATAGAAAAGAACTTTCTCTGGCTATTATAAATGTGGACATTCAATGCATTAAGCGAC